GGCCCCGCGCGGGCCGGGGGCCACGCGCGGGCCCGGTGGCCACTCGCAGACGCAAGCCGGGCCATCCAGCGCCCGGAGAGGCAGGGGGGTGTGCGGCGCGCGGGGCGGAGCCCCGGCCGTTCGGCGCATGGTGCGCGGGCTCAGCATGAATTTAAGCCACCGGGTCCAGGACTCAAACCGCGGTTGATTACACAGGAATCCAGCAACATAGCCATTAGGCGAGCTGCTGGTCCTGGGATCTGGGACTCTTAATGATGGTTGGCCATGTGGGAGTCTAGCACCTTCATTAGCACAACACCTGCTGACCCCCTTGAATGTAGTATTTTGTTTAATTTTTGTTTTATATTTTTGACACATGGCACATGCACTAGCAAGAGAGAGAGGGAAAGTGAGAAATCATCCTCAAGGTGGAATAGCCATGCTGTAATCTTATCTCCATTCACCTCTTGGGATTTTGATTACACATGCAGCCACTAGGTCTGAGACTTGAATTTTAGAGTCAGCTATGTGGGGTCCGGTACCTTAACCAGCATGCTACCTGCTGTCCCATGAATGTAGTATTTAATGTTAAACATACACTGATATTTTGTTTCTATGACAGAATATATAAGAAACAGGTAGTAGTGAGCCAGGAAAGGTCAATTATCAGTAGTGTGTCAGGATTTCCTAAGAAGGTTGTCCTAGAAAGAATTCTTAAAAATGTAATATGTGGTGGACCAGCAGTTAGCGTAATGGCTATGTCGCTGGACTCCCATGTAGTCGACCACGGTTCGTGTCCTGGACTCGGTGGCTTAAACTCATGCTGGGCATGTGTGTGTGCATGCCCAAGATCGCAAGAGGAAAATGGAGGAGAAGGGATTGCGGTGTGGCCATCCCCCCTGGGAGGTGATTTCTCGCTTTCTCTCTCGCTGTCTTCATCTGTCTGGTGAGCGCACGCGCCCTATAGCAAAAACCTCTCCAAAAAAATACTAATAGTAATAATATGTGGGACCAGCAGGTGGCATAGTGGTTAAGGTGCCAGACTCCCACATGGGTAACCATGGTCAAGTCCTGGACTTGGTGGCTTGCTTTCTTGCTTTCCCCCTGTCTCTCTTTGTTGCTTTGTGGTCAAATTGATGGTTAGGAGGACTGGACTCCCACATGGCCAACCGTGATTCAAGTCCTGGACCTGGCAGTATGCTTTCTCACTTTCCTTCTCTCTCTGTGTCTCTCCCTGCTCAAATTAAAATAGTAATAAAGTTAAATAAAAATAATTCTTAAAAATAGTAATACTTAAGTTATTTTATTAATACAACCTAGTCTATATCAAAGAGTTCATACGAGGAATAAATATATGTGATTTCTGAAAGTTAAACTTTGATATTACATAGTGCATTAGAATTTACAAGATAAAGTATGCTTCACACTCATATTTTCAACGTTCCAAGGATATTGGAATAGGCCAGTTATCTTCTGTTTCTTTCAGTTATCTTCTGTAAATATCTTATTCCGTTACTTGAGGTATCTTTGAAAGGCCGCTTTGGTGTTTATGGCTTTCATATTGAAATTTGGACTCTATGTACCTTCCTTGCAGCCTTTTCCACTTATCAGGGAAAGAACCAACAAAAGGAAATGTCCAACTTCATATGGTGAGGATTATTTGTTTTTTTAAAAATTTGCCGGAGAGCTCATGTCCTTGCAGAAGGGAGACAGAGAAATGCAAAGTGACAAAGTACCGTGTCGTCAGGGATGGTCATGTAACAATCCCTTCCCCATTTCTCCCTCCTTTTCACGATTTTAGGCACACACACAGAGACACCTGACAAGGCACTGGTTTCCAAATTTTATCTGGCCATATGGGGGGTATCCAGACACCTTTACCACCTCACCATCTGCTGGCTAAAGTGGTGATTTTTCTAGTTCATATTCTTGAAGAACTTGGATGCCACAGTTAAATATTAAATATTTTCCAAGTAGGAGCTCACTTCGAAAGGGCAAAGAATAATGTAAAATTACGACTTGAGACATCATGCTTATTGCATTCTGGACTCTATCTCCACAAAGAGAGTCACTGTGGGTTACAAGAGAGGATGTTCTAGTGTCTCTGAGACCTTAGGATACTTTTTTTTTTTTAGAAAATACTGTGATATTTTATTATTAAAAATGCTGCTGAAAAGTTTATACATATGTGTCCAGCCATATATATCATGTATCATTACTTAAGGCAAAATAAAAAAAAATTGCAAAATAATAACCCAAGGAACCATGAAGATCGAGAATAAAAGCCTGGGAAAGTTTTTTTTTTCTTATTTTTTAAAACATTTTTTTCTCTTTTATAGATAGCAAGTATATTTTTTCTCATAGAACTCTATGAAGATTCTATAGCTTCTTCCCATGTAGAAATAAGATATTGTGTAAGATGTATTAAATTGCTTTTGATCATAATCGTCTGTAAAAGCTAAAGTTATTCACGTAACAAGAACTCTTTTCCTTATCCAAATGTCACAAACCGGATGCATTAACTGTATGTATTGCTAGCAGAAGACAAGTGAAAATACCCAACAGATAGTACAAGTCACATCACAGACCTGCAGATCCCAACAATGGTGTAGACCGGCACTTCCTCTTCAGTTCTGCGGAGACCTTGTCTGCTGTTGTCCAACTGGGACAATCCAAAACTCGGAGAAA